GGAGCCCCAGTCTGGACCAGGAGGACCCACCAGAGCCCCCGCACATTAAAGAGGAGTGGAGCCCCAGTCTGGACCAGGAGGACCCACCAGAGCCCCCGCACATTAAAGAGGAGAGGAGCCCCAGTCTGGACCAGGAGGACCCACCAGAGCCCCCGCACATTAAAGATGAGTGGAGCCCCAGTCTGGACCAGGAGGACCCACCAGAGCCCCCGCACATTAAAGAGGAGTGGAGCCCCTGTCTGGACCAGGAGGACCCACCAGAGCCCCCGCACATTAAAGATGAGTGGAGCCCCTGTCTGGACCAGGAGGACCCACCAGAGCCCCCACACATTAAAGAGGAAGAGGAGGAACTCTGGACCAGTCAGGAGGGAGAGCAGCTTCAAGGGCTGGAGAAGGCTGATATCACCAAGTACACATTCCCAGTCCCAGTGAAGTGTGAAGAAGACGATGAAGAGAAACATCTGTCCTCACAGCTTCATCAAAGATTAACTGAACAGATGGAAACAGAAGCTGATGAAGAACCAGAACCAGGCAGGAATTTGGATCCAGACAGACATTTACAACCCGATACTGATGACAAGACTTCTGACTCCTCTGAACCTGAAACAGATGACAGTTGTGATTGGGAGGAGACCTGGGAACCTCAGTCAGGTTCAACCCCTCTGCAAAATAACAGACATAATACTGATGAGAAATTATTTAGCTGCTCTGAGTGTGGTAAACGATTCAGCCGGAACTCAAATCTGAAGAGACACATGAGCATCCACACAGGGGAGAAACCATTCAGTTGCTCTGTTTGCAGTAAAACATTTTCACGACATGTGTATCTGATAAACCACATGGTGCTCCACACAAGGGAGAAACGATACAGCTGCACTGTTTGTGGCAAACGATTCACTTGGCCTTATCAGCTCAAAAACCATCAGTGTGTTGGTCGTCAGTCCTCAGAGCTTCATCACAGACAAACTGAAGAGAACAGAGATGCAGAGCATTTGAAAACAGAAGCTGATGGAGAGGACTGTGGAGGACCAGAACCAGCCAAGGACTCCGATCCAGATAGACATTCACAACCAGATACTCAAGACAAGACGTCAGACTCTGAACCTATGACTGATGACAGTTGTGGTTGGCAGGAGACCAGGGAACCTCAGTCAGCTTCAAACCTTCTGAAAAATAACAGACATAATACTGGTGAGAAGTCGTTTAGCTGCTCTGAGTGTGGTAAACTGTTCAGTCGAAACTCAGATCTGAAGAGACATACGAGAATCCACACAGGAGAGAAACCATTTAACTGCTCATTTTGCAGTAAAAAATTTATACAAAAGGTTTATCTGACAAACCACATAGCACTCCACACTGGAAAGAAACGATACAGCTGCAGTGTTTGTGGCAGAGGATTCACTTGGCCTTATCAGCTCAAAAAACATTGTTCTCTTTGTCATCAGTCCTCAGAGCATCAAAGACTAACTGAACAGATGGAAACAAAAAGTGATGGAGAGGACTGTGGAGGACCAGAACCAGCCAGGAACTCTGATCCAGACAGACATTTACAACCCGATACTCATGACAAGACGTCACACTCCTCTGAACCTGAGGCAGATGACAGTTGTGATTGGGAGGAGACCAGGGAACCTCAGTCAGGTTCAAACTCTCTGCAAAACAATGAAGTACCTGGAATTGATGTGGAATTTAATACTGGAAAAACATCAAGTAGCTTCTCTGAATGTGCTACAAGCTCTAGCCACAGAGGACATCTGCAGGAACACAATGGACTCCAAACAGGAGAGAAACCATTTAGTTGTTCAGTTTGTAATAAAAGATACTTAGGGAAGAACTCTTTAGCAAATCATATGAGACTTCATTCAGAAGGGAAACATTTCAGCTGTTCAGATTGTAAAAAAACATATCAATGGAGGGTAGAGTTTCTGAGGCACATGAGAACCCACACGGGCGAGAAACCCTTTAGTTGTTCTGTCTGTGGTAAAGGATTTTCACAAAAGGAACATCTGAGACAACATATGAGAATCCACACAGGGGAGAAACCCTTAAGTTGTTCAGTTTGTGGTAAAAGATTTGCACGAAGCTCAAATTTGATCTCACACTTACGAATTCATACAGGAGAAAAACCTTTCACATGCTCAGTTTGTGAAGCAAATTTCAGTCACAGAAGTGCTTTGTCCAGACACACTAGAATCCACACAGGGGAGAAACCCTTTAGTTGTTCAGTTTGTTATAAAAGGTTCACTCGGCTCAGTCTTCTCAAAAAGCACAAATGTGCTGGTGAGAGCAATGAAACTAAATGAAGCTGCAGAGATGTTTGTTGGATCTACACTAGTTTAATTCCATTTATTTATATAGCACACAACAGTTATCTCATTTCACTTTTCATATAGAGCAGGTCTACACTCTATATTATTGTGATATTCTTTACAGAGACTCAACAGTCCCAACTGTCCCATCGTGAGTAAGCACTTGGCAACAGTGATAATGAAAACTTTCTTTTAACCGGCAGAAACCTCACACACAACCTAGACATAGGGTGGATGGCCATCTGCCTTGAACGCCTGCGTTTAGAGAGAAGGGGGTGTTAGAGGGTCCACATTGTGCCTGTCAACCCATAGCAGCACATAAAAGGTCTGCGTGTCCTTTAAATCCAGCTTTATTCAGCTAACTGTCCGGATATCAACCTGGCCATCTGTTCTGTGACTGTGACTGTGGGGTAGTGCTGAATGATTAATTGTATTTGCAATAATATCTTGATATGATAAAACGAGATTGTGTAATCACAAATGCTGCGATTATGGTCACATGACGCGGAAGTCCAGCAGTCTGCAGAGGAAGCATCAACTTCTCACGTTATGCTGGACCGTGACGTGTTGTACAATGTCCGCAGGATTGACAGAAGCTGATACTGCAGAAGCTTTAGTGTCAAACATACCCGCCACCCGCGGGTGAAATGCACAACAGAAAGACACTTGTAGTACAGTTAGCGTATTATGGCGGTCGGCACATGCGCCTGCATGAATTGAACCTTAAACTGACTAATTTTTGTTGTTTGCTGGGATCCACAAAAGAGTTTTTTGTTGAGATATGGACTCATGTTGATTGTAGAATAGTGGGTTTTGTAATAAGCACTTACTGTAATGTTATAATGCACTCTGTTGATCTTGTTTTTCTTGTGGTCTGTAGTTACGCCTACCTGATGATATTATTTATTGCAATGACTTGACTCTCAAATTATTATAATTTGAACTACTTCTCCAGCATTGCTCATAATGCACTGTCACTGCTTTTTTTTTTTTAGCTTGCTGTCTTCTGTGTGTGCTGATAATTCAATGAGTTGCTGGCTGTAAATCATAAAGTGTATTTTGTCAGACTGAGACAATGACTGGCGCCTCGTTTAAATACCAGCGACTGCTGCATAAAAGCTGGATTTGTTTTCTCTCTCCTGGGATGCATTTCCCTCTGCTGGTCATGAGGACCTATTACAACATTTTGCTCGCCGTAAGCCGGCAGTAAGTCTCGTCCTGTGCTGGGCAACAGGAGAATCCAAATTCTGGACGTGGGAATGGAAAGGATAAAAAATGTGTAGCATTACTGGAACAAAATCTCTGAACAACCTTAATTGTAATCGAGTAGTGACAAAACCTTCAGGACTTTAGAACAGACACTACCAACCCCTTTAAACGAGCCTTATTGAGACAGATGGTTCAATAAAATGCAGAAGAGACTATTGTTTAAGGACTGTATTGTTTGAAAGGATTTATTCCTAAAAGGGAGTTTTTCTTGCTACTGTTGCCAGGTGCTTGGTCATGGTGAGTTAATAATATTACAAAGACTACGGTGTAGACCTGCTCTATATAAAAGGTGGTGCTATATAAATAAAATTGAATTGATTCCAGGGGTTGAATCATAGTTATTAAAAGATGTTTGATGTGTTGTTGGGTTATTAATGTGAACTGTCGGGATGGTGGCCTTCAGTTGGCTTCTGTTTCTGCTCTTTTATCTGTAAGAAGAAATGCCCTCTTATTTATCTGCAGATTGACCCGTTTGTTTCTGGTAATTTTGGTCCTGTGTCGGTGTTGATCAGGTGCAGCTTGTTTAATTTCATGATAAAATAATGTCACATTTTGTAGGAACCAGAACTGAACAATGGGAAACGTCTATGTCTTCATTTATTAATTTCGATATTTTATAATTTCTATGCTTTATTTATTCATTTGGGCACTTTATACTTTATATATTTTGTTTATTTTAACCTGTGTTGTCACAGTAGCACATTTTCCAGCATAAGAAAAACTATTCTGATATTTTACAAAACTACTAATGGTAATATGTAAAAATACTCAATCGTAAGTGAAAGCCCTGTATTTGAAGTTGAATTCGGTCTTGACCCGGTTTCTCCCACTCTGTGAGATGGTAATTAGTTTGTGGTAACGTGATTAAAGGCTCATTTTGTTGAAACCTGGTACATGGACTGATCTTTCAGTAGAGTTTTCTGGATATTTTAGAAACAGTAAAGATGCTTTTTGGAACCACTGTTATTCAGAGGAGCCTGTCTGTTTCTGATCTGCTCTGTTTGGATGAAAAACACTCGCTCTGTACTTCCTGTGTCTGCAGTTTCTCCAGCAGCTGCTTCAGAGGTGACTTTTACTTTGAAACACTGCAGGAACTGTAAAGTATTGAGAGCTCATCACATTGTAAAGGAAAACTGTTGGTTTAATTCACTGGGGAAAAGAACACACTGCAGCACTATGCAAGTTCCTGCAGATGTGAAATAATAGTGATGATGATGATCATAATGAAAATATTGATAAGAATATTATTATAATCATAACTGTACTAATAATTGTAGCTGCGTGTGTCGAGCAGGAACGTGGACTACCATTGGTACTTCATCGCAAAGAGATGTAGGCCTGTGAATAAAAGGTTACTCACTTTTATTTTGTAGATCAGCACGGAAGCAGATATACTTCCGGTGGCTAACATGCTAACTTTTCCCGTTACGTACCACGTGCGTCGCCGTGAGATGCAGCCGGAGTTCAGCAGCAGAGCCTGCATGTGAGGATCAACGTGTTTAAGTGGACTCTGTTTAAACTTTCGGGATGTTTCACCTCAGACTCATCTCCTGTTAGCCAAGAATGCTAAAGGAAGTTAGCTTGTTAGCAGGAAGTAGCCGGAGCCGGAGCTCGGCCTCACAGTCGGAGCAGCTTCCATAGAGACCAAACTGTATTTTTCACGGAGCCCAAATGTCCAAATGTCCAGATAGAGCTGTCTGAATAGACTCTGTGCTGTTCCCTTTATCTGAACATGTTTAACATCTGAATTATCTCCCGCTGTCCTACGAAGCTAATGCAGTTAGCTTAGCTTGTTAGCTGGAAGTAGACGGAGCCGAACGTGACGTCAGAGTGAGCCGCGTGTTTGAAAATGTCTGAAGTCGTGAACGAGGACGAACATCGCAAACTGCTGGACGCTGTTTTGAAGCCCGTTGTCCGGTTACAGAGAGCAGGTTTGTGCCCTTCACTGGTTCTCAGTCGTTTCTGTTGCTGTTATTACTCACGTGAGTCTGTTCACTTGCTGCTACTCGGTTGTTTTAGACTACAAATGTAGTTTTGGGTTAGAGATTCTTCCCTCCTAAGAAGTATAAATATATATCTTCCTTCTTTAGTAAGGTGACCAGATTTCTGAAATGAAAACCGGGGACATTTTGGGTTTGGTCAGTACGTCATTAAAAACATTTAATCTTATATATGTGAAATAATAAAATCAATTGCATTTTATGTGTTGTTTTGGCCATTTAAAGGTATTTCAACAGGTACAGAGGACTGGATTTGTTGGTACACAGCAAGTCATGAGGATAATCGCAAAAGAGATCATGTCTTTATTTTATATGTTACTTAGTAGAAAGTCATGTTAATTATAGGCTACAGCCTGATTTCCAAATATAAACAAGGATGTTAGACACACGCCTGCCAAACACATAATTCATCGGCAACAACAGGCTTCTGTTATTGCCTATAATAAACGTCAGGCCTGACTATAAACTGCAAACACTTAGTTGGCCACACTTGTGATTATTCCGGTAAAAGAAACGTTAAAGTATCACAAAGACAAACCTTTGCTGTTACCACGGACATAAAGTGATGTTTGTTTGCACATTATGCTAATAAATGTATCCTAGGTAAAAAACGTACTTTCTCTATCTCAAAGACATCATTATTTATTTTCTTTGAAAGAAAACGTGACCCTATTTCTAGCTGGTTATTTCTTATCTCACCATTTTAATTCTCCACCTTATTTTAGTCATATTAATTACAAAGACCCAACAGTTCCCACCATGAGCAAACACAGGCAAGGAAGAACTTCCTGTCAGCTGGTGGAAACTTGAGGTGGACTGATTAATCGTTGGCTTACGCCTCTGGTTAGCAGGTAGGTTAACTTCTTCGTTTACTTGAAGCTCCGGTTTCTGTATTAACATGAAGTCGCTGCAGCCGACAGTTGACAAACGAGACTTAAGTTAAATTCACATTTTAATCCACATAACAAAATTAGAAAGTTAATAAAATAAATTAACTCGAGTTCCTCCGGCCAGTAAACAGCTAGGTACGTCTTGAGCAGAATCTGGCGCGACTGCGGTATCTAAAAAGCTCACTCCTCTCCACACATGTAATGTAAACGGATTATTCACTAAAGCTGAAGATTTTCTAAAAGTCACTACTGGCTTGTGAAATGCCAATATTGAAGACATTACACGTGGCTGCTAACTAGGGCTGCAACTAATGGTTATTTTTGTCCCTAACTAAACCATTTAACTAAATATCTTTCAAGTGAATTACTGATCTCCATTCACAGCCCAACTACAGTGCCTTGCAAAAGTATTGGGCCCCCTCGAACTTTTCAACCTTTTGCCACTGATTTCGCCATCAACTTTAGTAAAACTGCCAATGTTCAAGTACACAATCGCCTCAAAAGTGTATTTAGTGATGAAATAGCGGACAAAACTAAAAACAAAAAAAAAACGTTCTGCTGTTCGCCTCTTTCTTCGCTGCTTTACGCTTCTCACATGAAAGCTTCTTCTTCATGAGTCTTACAGTCACGATGCGTCGACACTGAAATTTCACGATCTTTATAATCGACGTCGTCTGTTAAGTCGACTAATCGTTGCAGCCCTACTGTTGCACTGCTTTTGTTTTCCAATGTAAAATATTAGCCACACTACAGACATTTTAGCTGCTTCCTGTCACAAACTGCTCTCCGGTTACAACACAAAACGCTAAAGCACAGCAGTTTGGGAGATAATGTAAAGGTTGTTTTATTATGAACATAAAATTGAATAGACCCCAGGAAGAGTAGCCCATGCCCCTGATGGTGCTAATTGAGTTTTGAAAACAGAAATACATTTCCATTTAAGAAAAGTTACAAAAATGTTTGTGTATTCTGTCAATTGTAGTTTTTAGAAAGAGCGAGCATAATCAAAATGACCTGATCAGACCTTCTGAAGTAAGAGGTAATCCAGTCGGTGCATCCCTAGTTTTAGGTAGCCTTCCACAAGCTTCTCACTTGGGCTGCATGATTAATCTAATCGCAATTGCGATGTCATCTTGTGCGATTACATAATCAAGCAATTACACCCCAAATGCTAGTTGGCAGTAGCGCTACAGCGTACAACTTCCGCTAACGTGAATGGGGTAAAATTGTAAACATGCGGCTGGTGTAGCCTTTTCAAATGTTACCGACCGAATGGATCACATTCTGATGGTGAAACGAGTCATTTCGCTCAGGTTGTGACGGTCAAATATATGGATCCACTGTGTTACAGCCGCCGGTTTGGCCGCTAGTAAAAGTTTTTTCAAAGCGCGGGGCACTTCCTGTCGGCTTGGAAGCATTGCGAGGCTACCCAACCGACCAATCACAGAGCTTATGGTCCGCGTAGACTCGACGTGTAGTTAAATTTTTTGAGGAGGTGCATGTTTAACTTACAGTCAGACTGGTTCACTTTCCATGTCAGGTGGTACAACTAATGTAATACTGGAAAATGATTAATTTATCATGAAACCTTTTTATTTAATCAAAACAATATATGTATGACCTTGAAGTTTTATACTATAAACCTGTTTCATTTGAAATATGTTGTAAAGTCAGGTGGCGCAACTGCAAGGAAAGTTATTCTAAAGTGAGTAATGTTTGGATTGATCATTTAAATTAAAAAATTTGTTTTAAATTAATAATGTTGCACTCTATTTCATGAGAATAGGTTGTGCTTACTAGCTTCAGAAGAGCTGCGTTCAATACTACCAATTTAATAAGGCACCTAAAAAATTATACCTAAACAGAATACAGTGAGGTCACTCAGGTAACTCAATCCAAAGATGCCCCGAAGCAACACAACGACTCGGATCGGGGGCAAAAAAAAAGTCATTGGAACATCCCTATTTATATTTATCAGAGGAGGAAGATAGAGGGAAAACTGAAACTCCCAGTTAGCCAGCGATCCCGAATAGAACAGCAAAGAGTGAGGCAACAGTGGAAGCAAAACCAGTGAAAGCACAGGGAGAGGAACATTGCAATGAGCCTGTTCCAGTTGTTTTACTAAATGTGATATCATGTATCCTGTTTTTAATCACTTCATTACTTTTACTTCAATAGACTGACTAAAACACCTTTTTCATTACTATGTATTTCATTATCCTCCACAGACATCCAGCTGCTGTTGGTGAGCAAAAAAATGGTTCCCCCTGAACAGCAGGAGTGGAAACCCAGTCTGGACCACAAGGACCCACCGAAGTCTATGCACATTAAAGAGGAGTGGAAACCCAGTCTGGACCAGGAGGACCCACCAGATCCACCACACATTAAGGAGGAGTGGAGCCCTAGTCAGGACCTGGAGGACCCACAAGAGCCCCCATACATTAAAGAGAAGCAGGAAGAACTCTGGATGACTCAGGAGGGAGAGCAGCTTCAAGGGCTTGAAATTATCAAGTTCACATTCATTCCTGTCCCTGTGAAGAGTGAAAAAGATGAAGAGAAACCTATGTCCTCAAAGCGTCATCAAAGACTAACTGAACAGATGGAGAAAGAAGCTGATGGAGAGGACTGTGGAGGACCAGCCAGTAACTTAGATCCAGATAGATATTTACAACCAGATACTCATGACAAGAGGTCAGACTCCTCTGAACAATACAGCAGCAGTTTTTCATCATCTACTGATGAAACAACGTCAGACTCTGAATCTGAAACTGATGACAATTGTGTCTGGGAGGACACTGATAAACCTCAGTCAGGTTCAAACTCTCCAAAAAACACCAGATGTTTCATTGGTTTGGATTCAATTAGCTGCTCTGAGTGTGGGAAAGAACTCAGTCGAAAATCAGATCTGAAGAGGCACATGAGAATCCACACAGGAGAGAAACCATTTAATTGCTCAGTTTGCGGTGAAAGATTTATACAACAGGTTTCTCTGACAAACCACATGGTTCACCACACAGGGAAGAAACGATACAGCTGCAGTTTTTGTGGCAGAGGATTCACTTGGCCTTATCAGCTCAAAAAACATTGGTCTCTTTGTCATCAGTCCTCAAGCCTTCAGAGACTAACTGAACAGATAGAAACTGATGGAGAGGACTGTGGAGGACCAGAACCAGCCAGGAACTCTGATCCAGATAGACATTCACAACCAGATACTCATGACAAGACATCAGACTCTTCTGAATCTGAGACTGATGACAGTTGTGATTGGGAGGACACTGCTAAACCTCAGTCAGGTTCAAACTCTCCGAAAAACACCAGATGTTACATTGGTTTGGATTCAATTAGCTGCTCTGAGTGTGGGAAAGAACTCAGTCGAAAATCAGATCTAAAGAGGCACATGAGAATCCACACAGGAGAGAAACCATTTATTTGCTCAGTTTGCGGTGAAAGATTTATACAACAGGTTTCTCTGACAAACCACATGGTTCACCACACAGGGAAGAAACGATACAGCTGCAGTGTTTGTGGCAGAGGATTCACTTGGCCTTATCAGCTCAAAAAACATTGGTCTCTTTGTCATCAGTCCTCAAGCCTTCAGAGACTAACTGAACACATGGAAACAGAAGCTTATGGAGAGGACTGTGGAGGACCAGAACCAGCCAGGAACTCTGATCCAGATAGACATTCACAACCAGATACTCATGACAAGACGTCAGACTCTGAACCTGAGATAGATGACAGTTGTGATTGGGAGGAGACCAGGGAACCTCGGTCAAGTTCAACCCCTCGGCAAAAAAACAGACGTAACACTGGTGAGAAGTCGTTTAGCTGCCTTGAGTGTGGTAAACAACTCAGCCAAAGCTCAAATCTGAAGAGACACATGAGAATTCACACAGGAGAGAAACCATTCAGTTGCTCAGTTTGCGGTAAAAGATTTATACAACAGGTTTCTCTGACAAACCACATAGCGCTCCACACAGGGAAAAAACGATACAGCTGCAGTGTTTGTGGCAAAGGATTCACTTGGCCTTTTCAGCTCAAAAACCATCGGTGTGGTGGTCGAAAAAGTGTAACTTTACAAATAAAGACAAAAACTGAGGGAGAGGACTGTGGAGGACCAGAACCAGCCAGGAACTCAGATTCAGAAAAACATTTACAACCAGATACTCATGACAAGACTTCAGACTCCTCTGAATCTGAGACTGATGACAGTTGTAATTGGAAGTAGGGCTGCAACCAATAATTGTTTTTGTTGTTTTTGTCACCCCTAAACCTAATGAATCCATTTTAACAAATGAAATATCTTTCAAGTAAATTACTGATCTCCAACACACAGCCTAACTAACGTTACCGTGAAGTGAACAAGGTTTACTATTCAGAATGAACACTAGGGGGAACATATGGAAGAAGAGAAGACAGGGTAGGATATTCCCATAATTCACTAAAAGAGCGTTCTCTTAGCCAGCATCATCACTGAGACCCCAAAACCAAAAATGCGAAGAACTAGGGAGAGGCTGCTCCAAGATAACAGCCAGGTTTTATCACCCAAAACAATGAGCTCACAATCTGATTTATTGCCAAGTAGGTTTAACTTTAAAACTTTTAACTAAAATAAAAGCAAGTACTATAACCACAGCTGTACACTAACAATGAGATGTCTATTTAGAATAACAAAGCAACAGACACCTTTGATAATACTTGGTAGTTTATTTGTCCAAAGTGCTTAAACATTTTGTTCTATAGGCTACATTTGCGCACATTTTCAATTCACCATCAACCTTCGTAAGACTGCCAATATTCAAGTTCTACACTAATGTCAACTAACCTTTGCAGCCCTAATTTGGAGGAGATCAAGGAACCTCAGTCAGGTTCAAACCTTATGGAAAAACAATGAAGTGCCTGTAAGTGATATTGAATGTTAACTGGAAAATCATTTGCTGCAAGCTTTAACCACAAGGGATATCTGCAGGAAGACAGTGGAAACCCAACCAGTCAATGTCCCCGAGCCAAAAAGTTTGCCCACCCCTGATTTTGGAGATAGCTGTTTAGCTACACTTTTTGTATTTGATCTTTTTTTTTTGTATTTTTTGACAGAAAGAGAAGAAGTTTTTGTAACCAGTTAGCATAGCATGCTAAGTAGCTATTAGCTAAAACAGTCCCTGTAAGGCTCGTCTCTCGTATTTGATCTTTTGTTACAGTTATTGATTTAACTTTAATTGATTGATTGAGGTGTTTAAGTGTAGTTGAGTTCTTGCTATTATGTGAAATGAGGATTTCCTTTATGGGGAGTTGGAGCTTTGGTTAAACATTATGAGCATTTAGTTTGGTAGGCCTATTTCAGTTAAGTTTCAAATGAATGTGTTTAGTTTAGTAGCTATCTTTTATTATAGATACTGGTCATGTAATACCACACCTTTCGTTAGAGTTGCAGAAGAAAGTATGTGAATTACCTGGATATTGGTCATTGGTGACCAAGGGCCTGCACCACGAAGCCAGTTCAACATACCCAGGATATCTTTTTGTTATCTGGCTTCACTGACCCTGAAAATTACTATCGGGATACTGTTAAAAAGATGAATCAAATAGGATGATGTTGCTACAAAAGTTTCTCTGTATCGTCGTGGTACTAACCACAAAGTTACCTGGATAAGCTGAAATGATACAGGCCCCTGATCTTCATCTACCTCATGACAATAGACAAACTATGTGGACATAAACATTAACGTTACCGTTAATCAGCATTTATGTTATGGCTACTTGACATTTGACAGCTAATATATTACATTGTCTGTCTTCAAAGACCCTGTCCTTCTACTGGGCTTTAAAACTAACTAACCCAACCCTATAATACCACCTTAATATTTTCATTTACAGCTGTTTCTGTATACACTAACATATGTTATATACACTGTATTCAATTAACATAAGACACTGATGAATGAAGAATGTGATTTCCAAAGGGTTCACATACTACACATGAGAATTGTTACCTATACCCTCAGGTAAATAAAATCACTTACCTCCCAAATTGAATGGACTTTGTGTTTGAATGGTATCTTGTGGTGGAGACTGACCAGGTCTTTGATAAGTAACTTCCTTTTAGAATCACACCAAGCTCAAATTTGATCTCTCACATTCTCTGAATTGTAGCTTCATATGAAAATTTCAGAACCATCTTGTCTTCGAGACTGCTGAAATATTTTTAAATCCATCACATTTACAAGTAAAATTCTACTTCCTGATGTTTTTCTGTACCATAACCCCCTGCGTATATCTCTCAGAAATGCCGGGGGGAGACACAGCCCCCCCCCAACCCTGTTACTTCAGGAATGTCTCTGGTGATCCAGGTACCGGCAACGGATGGGACTTGAACCCGGAGACGCTGCACCACAGGCACAGACAATCTCACCTCGCCACCAAATACCCTTCACGATTGTTCCTTTTCTCCGGGTGCTTTTATTTCTTCACTTTGGAAGTTGCGCCTCAAAATTCACTTTGCCTTCGATAAGGATCGAACTCCCAACCTCTGGGCTGCAAGATGACCCGTGTCCCACCGAGCTACAGGGATAGACAGTTTGGGGCTCCTTCTTTGAGCTTTTGATTCTTCCTTCTTAGAGTTGCGCCTCAAAATTCACTTTGCCTTCGATAGGGATCGAACTCCCAACCTCTGGCCTTCAAAGCAGACCCCTAACTCACGCTTTTGCTTTCTGTCTTTGAGCTCTTGACTTTTTCTTTTGGGAGCTAGATGAGGATTAAACACACAACCTCTGATCCTCCAGGAAGTCCTACCAGCTTGAGCTTTAGGAGCACATAGACAAACTGTTTTTTGGTGCTTTTCACGCTTTCCTTTAAACATCAGCTTTCAAAATACATCAGCTGAGAACTGAACATGTGTCTGAACATTTACATTAAGAGTGTGTGAATGTTTTGACTCTCTGTTCACATGTGGACTGGCCAGACGTAATAAATCCCTAATAAATATTAAAAGACAATGTCTTGTTTTAATTGTTATTTGTTCAATTCTGCAACGTGAAACGTACAAAGGAGTGTAACTGAATATATAGAGACGGGTCTTTGGTAGCTGATATTCTACTTTGGTACAAAAGTCACATATAAAACAACATATGCATATTTATGTGTTAAATAAGAAAACATAATAATAAATAGGTACTTAAACGGATTCTCCATAACTAGTACAAGCCCTGTCATTGCTAAGGGGAAGAATCCTAAAGTCAGTAGTTTTAAAATGTACCGTTTTTAGATCTGTAACATTCACAATCAAATTCAACATTAGTCTGACAAACAGCACACACAGAAGTGATGCGTCAGTCCACTTTAGTTCAGCTTTGTAGTGTTGCAGTACTCGAGTCCGTTTCTTTTTGACGGTCTCGTCTCAGACTCGAACGCATTTGTACTCGGTCTTGAATGTGTGTGCAAACTCTTCCTCCATTGGCTGGCTGCTGAAGCCGCTGTCGACCGGAGCGTCTGACTGGACAGAAAAACAGGATTATGGTCAGTTTGGCTGCAGTTTGAATCGTCCACTGAGCATGTTTACAGGTACGTAACTTTATTTTAATGGGTTGTGTTATAGTTTTATTTCTGACATTGAAGCCATGTTTCATGTACAGTTTTAGAGGCAAAAGGACACAACGCATGTGCAGTAAGAAAAGTTTAACAGCTGCTGAACAAAGACAAACTTGGAAGAACCAACCTGCTGATCGGCCTTCACATCTCACAGGCAGAATGCTGACGGTTTGTTTAGGAGAGGAGACGTTGCCACCGTCAGAACTTCAGCAGCACCTCAGTAAATGCAGAAAGGCTCAAAAGAAGTTGAACTTTAACCCTGCTTAAATACGAAAACCTGTTTCTTCCAACCATGTTACATTCATGTGAGTTTTAAATAAAGACACGGTCTCTGGTGGAGGCCTTACCTGGCTCAGTAGTGCTGAGGTGAGTCCTGCAGCATTACTGGACTAGAGATGTGTTACTAGTGGTGAACACAAAGAACTGAAGCTTTATTTACTGCTGTGTGTCACAGAATACACAAACCAGATTATTAAAGTATCAAAGGTCCCTTCCAGACATGTTTTCAGCACTTGTTGTACTCTATACAAGTACTGTACTGAAGTACAAATTAGAGGTATTTGTAATTTACTTCAGTATTTTCTTTTCTACTCCAATACATTTTAATTTGTACTAAATTCATCTGACAGCTTAAATTACTTTACAAATTAAGATTTTTGCAGACTTAATCAAATGTTTTGTTATAAATTAAACTACCCAACAGTTTATACAGGTAGAGCTGAAAGATTAGCTGACTGAATTTTATTTTCAGTTATTCTAATGATCTTTTATTAAATCTGTCATGTAAAACACAACCATAGTACTTTTTACTTTTAATACTTAAGTATTAAGTACTTCAACCCAAGTACAAATTTAACTTGATTAAATGTATTAATATTTAGCAATATTTATTTATTTGTACTTTTAATCAAGTACAGAATTTGTGGTACAACTGGTTTCAAGGTGTAGAAAAATACATTGGGTATTTTGTGGCGGATGTTTTTCACTCATAAAAAAAGAAACTGAATATGTTTTACTACTTTTATTTTATTTATTGTTTGTTCTTGAATTTGTAGTTTTATTTATTTTGTGTATTTTATTTTGATTCTATTATATATTGTTGATTATTTCATTTCTGGTTTGTAATAAATAAAGATGTGGTGCGCCGCCAGGGGAAGCTCGCCCAGAGCACCAAATGAGCATTAACCCGGTTGTTCATGAGGTTTAACCAGGATACGAGCCATGAAAGGACTTGAGGTGCTGAAGTATCTGCACATGTGAGACACGGTTTAAGGTCTCGGCTCTCACTTCCTTCACCTTCTCTTCGTCTCTGGACGGTTGTCTGGAGGAACGTGTGCGCGTGGCCGTCAGAGCTTACAGTGAAAACAAAGTGCACTTTGCGGAGTCCATCAATGACGTGGCGGAGGACGAGCTTCTGGTCCATCACAGCGTAGTAAGTGCTGAAGGCCGGCGGCCTCCCTCCTGGTCTTGTTCTTCTAGGCTCCTGCATCAGACTGTTATACAACATCAAGGAAAGGATCCCTACCAGGGACTCCCAGTGACCCCCTTTGTTTTTAACAGGAAACTGAATCTCGCTCTGAAATCTCAGAGAGGCGAGTTGTTGCAGGAAGACGACGGATTGTAGCGATAAATCGTATCTTCAACGTCATCACAATGAACACAAAAGACTGCCCGAAACTCGATGAATCTATTAGATCATATTTATCTGAATATGTTTGGAAGATACAATGAACAAAGGGGAATAAAGAGAAAGAGAAAAGTACTGCGACAGTTAATAAAAAAGCTCTCTTGATCTGGATTTTCGGTATAAATAGAGAATTGACAACAGGCTAATTATTATAATACCTAATATTTATTTTTGGTGAAAGGGGGGAACCTTTGATTTATAGAAAACTTGCGTGAAGGTTTGTGTCTGCATTGACACACGAGCTGCTTCAGTCAAACATGTTGTGTTATCGTCTGTGATAAGACTATCTGACGCAGAGTTTCTCCCTCTAAATGCCTGCATTACTACGATGTTACCCGACACCGCTTCAAGATGATATCGTTAGACGTTTGGAAGCGTTTGTTGTCTTTTCCCTGCTGACTGTATAATCAACATTTCCACCACAGGCTTCTTTTCTTTTACACCATTGAGTTTTTGCCCTTAAAGTCACATTTTATACGAGACGCTTATAAAATGCAGTTTATACAAGTACAGCTGAGTTGACGTGAAGATTTTAATGTCATTTTGGAGGTTTGGACTGTTTGTTGGACTATTTTCAGAACTTTAAATGATTAAAGGAGAAAAGAATCAGCAGATTGATCCATAGTGAATGTAGTCCTTTGTCATCAATACTGATTAGTACATAATAAGAAGTAAACAGATTGTGGATGATATAGTACGGAAGAAATGCGGCTTCTACCTAATCACCAATTAATACATAAATTCTATCCAGCTAAAAAATACATTAAGTACAGATTTAGGACAGATATTGAACTGAATTGTAGTTTCTGTGGTGGATGTCCAGGAACTGTTACACATCTGTTCTGGCACTGTCCTATTGCGAAAAATGTCTGGAATAAAATATGTGCCTTCAGAAAATATCTAAGTTTTGCTTTTAAGGAATGTTTTCTGATTTTGAATAATCTCATTATTATTATTATTATGGCCAAATTTCATATTCACATCTCATGAATTCAGGGCTCTCTGAAGCAAAAGGCAAGTAAAACTGTATCAGCTTGTGTTATTTTTGAAGTTTTTAATATGGTCCCCCCCCCCTTAGCAGGCAGCTCCTGTACGCATTGTTCTGTTACAATTGTTTTTATACTTTTGTAAGATTTGCAAATTCAAATAAATTTGATTAAAAAAAGTCAACATAATAAGAAGTGAGAGTCCTGTTGGCCACATCTCAGTGTAACGTAGTGACTCAGAGTGACCACTGGAGGGCAGTAAGTCCTCTGCTCATTCCTCTAGGAGTCCACATCAGTCAGTCCTACAGCTGTTTAATTATTGTTATTGTTTAATTAGTAATAATATCAGTATAGGTGTCAGCATTATTATTATGTTGGTATCAGTGTGGCTAACAGCACTCATCAATACAATTCTAATAACAGACATTTACAAACACTGACACCCTGCAGTTCATCTTGTCACCACCGGAGGCGCCACATCATCACCACTGATGCTCCTGATTTAAAGGATCTAACAGAGGGCTGCTGTTTCTGAATCAGCTGTTAGCAGATCCTCTGAAATCACTACCTACGTTTACTTAGCTCAACATGAACCTCAATATTTTAAGAAGCCCCTGCTGCCGAATGAAAAGTGAATCCACGCACGACAGAAACTTTTCATTTGACTTTTCCTGACCTGAAGAAGACGAACTGTGTTTTCTGTCCCTCGCCTGTAAGGAGGTCACGCTGCTCTGGTTTCAGTCTCGGAGGCACAGCGAGGGCTTCAGCAACCTTTCCTGCAGCCGGGACAAAAGGAAAAAGAAAAAGGCATCAAATTTCAGCAGGAAGGCAGCGATCAGCCGTCCGGAACGAACCCACTTTACCCCCCGTACGGATTTCAACAAGCCACAGGGGAACATGTGCATCAATGATTCTTCTTTTAATGCAGCTTTTTAAAAACCTTTTATTCTGAAAAACTGTACAAGTACACGCCGTGTAGCATCAAACACACGTTTAAAACACTCATAAATACATACGTTCCTCTCAGAGTATATTTACATGGATGAATGAATGAGGCAGTTCTGCTCTAAACTGGGAAACATGGATTCAACAGACGGACAAATAAAGACATGGAAATACATAACGCTTCATCCTACGGGTCAGAAAAAACTTAATTTAATCACAACTGTGAGGAAGATCAGGAACTTTAAATCCACACTGAGGATTTCTGAGGCTGACGTCGTTACTGATATCTGAGAGTTTACAAAAACAGAACGTAATTCTTAAAGTTACCGTGGATTTAAGTGACTTATATCTGTTCCCATTCAAAGCAGCTGAATTCTCAGCATTTCTGACACAAATCGCAGCAGTCGGATGTTAAAGGCTAAAGAACATTTATTACCTCCACGAGTCAAACTACAACAATCTGTGCGAGACACACTTGAACTGAACAGGGATTTAAAAAAGTAAATGTGCGTTCATTATTCCTCTAATTGTAAACAGCATGATGGGTTTATGTTGCCAAATGAGTAAATGTAAAAGGTGAAATGTAAATGTTCAGCTGGCTCAAAGTGTTTATAGGTTTTTTGTGTTTGTTTTATTCCAAGCTGAAACTCTTTTAAACTTTGGTCGGACACCTGAAGACGTCACCTTCCACTCTGGCATGGACATCGTAAAGACTGAAGAATTAACAGATAATGAAATTAGTTCATTTAGTATCAGATTGTTTTTCTCCCAGGTAACGTCAAACTTCAGACCCGTAAAATAAAATGTTACCCAACTTCCTCAAAAGACTCTAAATCCTGTTTCAGTTACAAGAAAAATTAAAGAGCTACAAGTGGAAAAGTCATTTGTGGCAGAATCAAAGACGCTGTGACCGCAGCTGAAGGATATAACGAGTGGTCCTCGAGTGTTCATGACTGAGCTCTTCTCTCGTGTCAGAGCAGCCAGACTTCCATCTGTCCTCTGAACAAATGGCTCAGTCAGATCTGAGCACAAGACAACTGTCTGTTTTTACTTCCCAGAGTCAAATGTCCGAGTAAACACACCCCTCCTCCTCCTCCGGCTCTACACCGTCGTCTCTCCCTGGTTGCCGTTAGTCAGTCTCTTATAAAACCTGCGCCACGACTGCAGCGTCTTCCCAGACCAGATCCAGAAGCCAGACGTGATCCCCACGATCATGGTCATCAGGTACTTGATCATGAACACGGTGAAGTCCGGCGTCAACGGTGCGAAGTTTCCGGACGGGCACGGCACGGCGAAGCGCTTGCACGTCTGCATGTGCCACGTCCTCTCCCACTGCGGCCGGAAAGCCTGCTCGTAGAAGTAGCAGGCGATGACGATGGTGGCGGGCACCGTGTACAGCACGCTGAACACGCCGATGCGCACCATCAGCTTCTCCAGCTTCTCCGTCTTGGTGCCGTCGTGCTTCATGATCGTGCGGATGCGGAAGAGCGAGACGAAGCCCGCCAACAGGAAGGAAGTGCCGATGAAGAGGTAGACGAACAGCGGCGCCAGGACGAAGCCCCGGAGGGCGTCCACGTTGTAGATCCCCACGTAGCAGACACCGGTGAGAAGGTCGCCGTCCACCTGCCCCATAGCCAGGATGGTGATGGTTTTAACTGCGGGCACCGCCCAGGCTGCCAGGTGGAAGTACTGCGAGTTGGCCTCAATGGCCTCGTGGCCCCACTTCATCCCGGCTGACAGAAACCAGGTGAGGGACAGGATCACCCACCAGATGGAGCTGGCCATGCCAAAGAAGTAGAGGATCATGAAGAGAATGGTGCAGCCTTCTTTTTTGGTGCCCTGGGCCACCATCTTGTAGCTGTCCGTACCGAACTTATCGATACACACTACTTTGTCCTCCAACAGGAAGCCGGCGGCGTAGGCCACCGCCACCATGAAGTAGCAGCCGGACAGGAAGATGATCGGTCTCTCTGGGTACCGAAACCGCCTCATGTCCACCAGATACGTGAGCACGGTGAAGAGGGTGCTCACGCAACACAGAACGGACCAGATACCGACCCAGAGCCGGCCAAACTTTAACTCTTCCTCACGGAAATACATCAGTCCGTTGGGCTTGGAGACCTCGCAGGGCGCACCGCAGTCCTTTGCCCCCAGAAAGTGGTAGTTGAGGTAGGTGGGCACCTGGAGCTGCAGGGGGCAGGAGAAGGGCTGCGTGGTCCTGACATACGGCGGGAGGGTCACAAGCTCAGGGAGCTTGGGGGTCGGGTCGGATGTGGGGCCGTCGGCGTCAGTCGTGTTCTGACCCACGCAGATCTCTCCTGCTCCGTGGACCGGGAAGTTCTCGCAGCGCAGCCTCTCCGGCCACTGGAAGCCGAATTTATTCATGAGCGCCTCGCAGCCCTGCCGTGCCCGCTCACACAGCGACCTGCAGGGCGGTATGGCCTGCTCCAGAACCGTGCAAACGGGCGCGTACAT